ACGGGATAATACTCCCTCTACACCACGCGTTACTCTATTGTATTCACTTTCATTATGTGGATGTCGTCCCCGAATGCAACAGCGTCACTTCTCTTTCGCGTATGTCTTTTCAGACCCCGGCTTCGGGCTTCAACTCCAGTGGCAGTTAATTGTCTGGCGAGGCGTTAAGTGGCGATATTAAAATAACAATAACGCGGGAAGAGCTTTGTTCGAAAAGTGAACATCCGAATGGAAATTCCTACATTTTCCCAAAGGCGTATATAGAGAATAGAACATTTCATAGCTGGGTCTCTTGCGATTTCGGACAAATAAACACAAATTACTTGCCGTCGTTTAAATAAATGATGAAACGTTTTAGTCATTGTTCTAAATGACTTTGGATTAGTCGTCATTTTTCGTTTATTACCGGAAATGAACTTCTATTAAGACGTGGGCGGTCATTGAAATATTTGGACACTTTTCGAGAGGAAAATGAGTGTAATTTAAGAAAATTAATTAAGTTACATTTATAAAGTGGATAAAAATTTGGAAAATTTGAATTATTTTATAGTAAATTTTAATAAATTCAAAATTTAATTTTTTCTATTCAAAAAATATTTTTTTAAAAGAAATAACCGCATTGATAAAATTTGTAAATTAGTTTTACGGTGCCTGTTAATGAACTTTAGTGAAGTTAATAACGTTCGCCGATACGATACGCAATGACGGTGAAACGAATACGGTTTAAAATGTAAAATAACGCGCGGTAACATTAATTAAATCGCATGTCGTTAGCATTCTAAGCGTGTGTTAATAAACCCGCCGATATCCCACAAAAACACACAGCGTACGAGGAACAAATGAAAAACACAAACACACGACGCACACATATGCGCAACGTGTATATTAAAACAGGATAACATAATCTTATAGCCATACATGTATCGTGTTATCCTGATGTCGTGCGCGTGGGATCCGACGCTGATGGTTTTGTTTCGGCGGCGCGCGAGGGTCTCGGGTGTCCGGCTTTTAGGCAGGAAGGAAACGAAAAAGGGAAATCGGCGTCGGCGTGCGCGCGTCTCCGAGTCGGGGGTAATCTACACGCGGAAGGACCGCCAGCAGGACGACGAGTCGATCGCGCGCGCGCTTATTTACGGCCTTCCGACCGAGCGGCCAGATAATCCCATTAATTAAACGCGACGCTCATATGCTCTCGCGCCGGCTTCATGTAGATTGGACAAGCGCCATTATATTTTACATCTTCGTATCTGGGACCTTACTCAATGCGCCGCACAAAGGATGTGGACCTACATCATTGGTTTTATAACTTTTGAACACATCCGCACCGGGACAATCAAAAAACCTTGAACATGATCATTAATATATCCAATAGAAAATTTTAAGGCTATTATATTTATGCAACCATGTGTAAACGCATTATGGGATGCCTACATCTACTTAAAATTAACCAAAAAGTATTTTTTTAGGAAATAATCTCAAAAATCGAGAAAATAGGCATAAATTTATCAAATAAAAATTTTAAAGGTTATTATACTTATGCTACCAAGTATAAATGTATTTTTGGTTGCCTACATCACACAAATTTAATTAAAAAAATATTTGTTTAGGAAACGAGCTGAATTTGTGTTTACAACACAGGAAAACGATAAAAATGCCAATCGAAAAGAAAGCACTCTCGATTTGATTAAATAATCATGAGTAATTGCCTTCATTCAGACATATATTATGCTAATTTATGAATGCTCAAGTCACGAGCGCATTCCGACGAAAGTAAAACTAGTCCCTCATCCTGTACCATGTCAAGTTGTCTGTCGATCGGTTTCTGGTGCTTACATTCACAGTTCACGCACGCACGCACGCATGCATCGATTATTATTATCCGCGAAACAATAGCGCGTAATTGAATCTCTTGTCTCGCGGTGTCATAATAACCGCGACCGAAGCGTCGTTTCGTCGCCGGTTTCCCATCTGGAATCTCCCACATACTTCTTGCGCAATGAACTTGTATAACAAATGAAACTAACGATTGCAAATTTTATTTTTGCATTATTAATGCAAATAGCGCTAAAGTTATTAAAAACATGATGTAGATATTGTTTACATAACAAAGTGGAAGAGAGCAGCAATTGAAAAGGTTTGATGCGATGCGAGATTCTGACTCAAATTCGATTGTTCGCTTTAATTGTTGTTTAAATAGCGTGAAATTTTAATTTGTTTTCATATCTCTGCGGCAAAGAAAGCATATAATGAATGTATATGAATTTCATTAAAATTTAATGAGTTATAATTATAAAATTATGCAATACTTGTGAAATTCCAACAAAAGGGGTTAAATTATGATTTTTCTTCGCGTGCCAATTAATTTCGTTGTTCGAGATGAATGAAATACAATACAATATGAAAGCCACAAACATTTTGTTTGCTTGTATTTTTTTTTTCTTGCAAAGTCAATGTCGAAAAAAGGGCTGGAAATATAATTTTAATCTCCGCTTATCTTCCCGTTATATTTCTCCCGTTGCGGGCGTGCCCGAGGGAAATTACACGCATACAGAAAAAAATTCCACCGTTGAGAGGAGCACACAGGAAAAAAAAACGCCACGCGCGCGCTGGTCCAAGAAAGCCGGCGCGGAAAATAGCGAGAACCTAAAGTCCTGAAGTCCCAAAGAAAGGGACGACGCACAAAAAAAAGGGAACGCACGCAAGCAATAAGTTGTTACTGCCGGCGCTGGACTTTTGCGTGCGTTTGGAATTTAAGTTGGGTCTTTTGTAAACATTTCAAGTTTTACATTTCTTTTGTTGCTTTTTATTCTATTTTATTCTAAATAGCTAAATAGAAATGCGAAAAAGTTGAGGGGCCAATTTGGAAAATTCCAGGCAAGCAAAGAATCTCGCAATTCATTACAATTGTAACAGAATTTTACTTTAGCAAATAAAAGTTACAGCGACTTCGGATGACAAACAAATCATAAAAATTGTAAATTATATAAAATACGTCTCCACTGCACTTTTGTAACTATAATAAAGTAGCTACGACTCGTAAATGGTACAGAAATGAAAAGAAAACTGTAAAAAATAAAACTTAAACTACAAAATTGTCGTGTTAATAAAATTGTCTACAACTTTAAGTATTTCCTTTAACAGAATTAAGACGTTAAAAGCATAAACCACACAACAAAACAAAAGATTTTCCGCTTAATCATTGCTCTGCATCATTGGCGTGATGTTTACGACATGCAACTCGCGCGCAATAAGAATCTCGCAAAACGCGCCACGACGCACATAAAAGAAAAGTTAGTCGACTAATAATAAAATCTCCCGAATGACATATGCATCGAGTTATACGACGACAATGCGAATCGTAATAAAATGTCGCGACGCGAGTGTGCCCGGCGACTACATTTCGGTTCATAAAAATATATATTTTATCATGAGAGAGAGACGCTTTTTCCTCGCGCGCGCACCGCGACTCGCTAAAAGCAAAGTCGTAACATTTTTCTTCCACTTCTAGGTCTAACACAATTTATTATAAATTTTCATTTCCCGACGACGCGAATGCATTTTTAGGCCGGGCCCAGACGCAAAGAGCATTCTACCAACTACAAAACGCAAAAAACAACGCAAAAAGAAGAAAAATCGCAACTACACCAAACCTACTAAGAGTAAGAGAGTAAGACAAAGCAAAGTAACATTGCGTCTGTATTTTTATGCGGCTCCTGTATAGTAAATTAAATTAAATCATCGCATATTTTTCCCGGCGCGACTTGAAAAACTTGAAAAGTTTCGCCAACTTTTTCCGAACGCTCTTGAACTGAGCGCGCGCACGAATCATAAAGTCGACTTTTCGCATGCGTTTTGTTAGTGGTGACTTTGGAGTACTTGAACTTTCAAACATTCACATTTCATCATCACTTTAGCGCCGCAATAAAGTGCGCTATTATATTAATAAATACGAAAATGATTATTCATCAGATAGAATAAATCAACGTCATGCAATCTGCGCGAACAATCTGAGACTATGAAATCGTTGAAAATTTATTGTTTTAATACTCGGCTTAATCGATTTAAAAATTATGGAATAAAAACCGAAATAATTTATTACATAAGTAGCGTAATATTATTTCGTTTGGTTGAGTGTGCGAGTATGTTCGTGTAGGAATTGAAGCAGAGCAAAATTCCTGTTGGAGAACTTTCTCTGATTTGCCGCTATTAAAAATGTATTAGACGCGGTATTAATTTCTGACAGCTGGCGTTAAATACATCAGTTATATCAATATATGCGTAGCGAATGTTAGCACCCACTTGTGGGTCTAATTAAATAAACGATCGAGATGTTGACTGTGACTCTGACATTCATTGAAATTCACAGGGCTGGATTTTAGAAAATGCTGACATCTGGTGGCAAATAGAAAAAACCTCAAATAACCACACTTTTTCTTCTAGTTTCACTAAATTTTCTCAATTTAATGAAAGTTATATGTAATTATACGACTCACACGACTTATTACATAAATTAAGTGTCATTTAAAATGCATGTAATTAAATATATAAATGTTTTATGTAAATGTTGTTTGTAAATTTTTGTTTTTTGTTTTCTTTTGTTGGAATTTTAGCCGTGTACGTCCCTGTTACACTTTTAATTCCCAATATTAAACGATATGTAGTCTAACATTGTGCAACACCTTTCTCCGTGATCCGTAACACGGCGTCCAGATAGCGAAACGCTCTCTCACACATAATATGAAAGTTGCGCACCACACAAAAGTCACATAAAGCGATCGTTCGCACAGGCACTAGACTCCCCTACCTGCGTCAATGCACGTCGATACCGAAACCAAATTATGTAGAAGACATTGTCGAATACTATTCACCAAAGAGTGGTAGCAAAATTGAACAAAGTAGGGACGTTTCGACGCTGTGACGCTCCGTCCCGAACGTTTTGGAAGTGTGCGAGCGTATAAATACAGCACACGCCGCGACAAGAACGTCAATTAACAGTCGAGCAACATAACAAGACGCACGAAATATTAAGCAATAATAAATTAGATTATTTTGTTGGATTTGTTCGGTTTTGTTAAAATGAGTGTACGCGCGGTTTTTACCTGTGCGTTGATCTGCATCGCGGTGGAGTTGTCCTGGGCGCGATCAGCCGGACAACCGGAGCCGGAGTACAAAATTCAGTACTATGTGCCGCAACAACAGTATCTGGAACAAGAAGAAGGTGTTAGCCATCAACAACAGCAGACGCAACAACCGCGGTATATCACATCGCCGCAAGCGCAGACTTATCAAGCTCAACAACATGCAAGACCACAATATGAAGCACCTACACATAGGGTTGCACAGTTGTTGTTACCATCATCAGCTGACAGACAAGTAATAAAATTTAAAAAAAAATTAATTTTTAAATTAATTTTGAAAATTAAAATTTTTAAAAAAATTAATTTTGAAAATTATTTTTTCTAAGGTTGCAAAAGTTGCTGCCCAAACCGTAGGACCCGAATACGCTCAACATGTACAACTGGTCCAACAACAAGGTTTAGCCAATGAAGCCATCTCAACAGCTCAGCGTCGCGCGCAGGCTATTTACCAACGCGCCCAACAACAACAAGCGCAACAATCTCAACACCAAGCAACAGCCTCTCAACGCCAACAGTATTTATCTGAAGTCCCAGCTCCGAAAACCCAGTATGTTCAATATGTGCCCCAACAACAAGCGCAGCAATATCAACTCCAGTATGAACAACCCGAGCAGTACGTCAAGAGCACTCCAAGACCACAATACAGACTCAGACCGCAAGCTGAAAAGAAAGACGAAGACGAACAAGAGGAACACGATGTAAGTTAAACAATTTACTTTTTCTGCTTATTGAGTGGGCAATAAACTTCTTGGTGTGTGAAGAAGCGAACAAAGAGCTTAGCACCTCTAAGGACGTTCAATAGCCCGAGAGTCAAGTCAGTCATCAAGTCATAGTGCGAGTAGCACACTCCTCCTGAGTAGGTGCAATTAATTCAACGTTTCAACGCGGAACAATCCGACAGTTAGCGCGACGGTTTGGCTCAACCCACGCCAAAGGACTAGAATTTAGCTAATCTACGTTAGTGTAGGACACTGTGGGGATAAAGCCGCCAAACACGTTTCTTAGTGTGACGGCTGTACTGTGTCTAAATTGCGATTGTCAAGCCGCAACCCAGCACACACATGTGTGTAGATGTGGCGCATTCATGCGAGGTGTAGTTAGCTGCGTCGTGCTGATGCGGAGCCAAGGTGTGAGGTTAGGTTGCTCTTGATTAGCACGCGTCTGGTTGAATCAATCAAAGCCATTTAGGCGTTAACAACGCTACTTAAATACACATTAACATATCGATATAAGAAATATTCATGTGATATTATATTATATTTTGTGAAATTCATGAAATGCACGAGAAAAAGATATGAAGGCGGAAATTTCATTTCAGTGCGCGATACGTAGCTGCATATCTTTGCATCTCGGTGAAAATCGAAAAGTCAATAAATAAGATGAAGATATAGACGCGTCGCGAATAGTCAATGTAGGAATTTTGCGAACGGTTTTCTTCTGCACGGAACGAAAACGCATGCAATATGTTTTCGTTACATGCTGGAAGAAGGTGAGAGGAGAATAGAGAAAGTCGCGTGTGAACTTGCACTCATACGACAAGAGAATTGCATATACAGATGGTTTTCAATCAAGTTTTCTCTGGAATTAAATTTTAACTTCTATTGCGACATCTGGCGGTGATTTTGATGATTAATTTTTATTATACTGGTCTAACCTAATTTTTACTGTTTTGTAGCAGTACTAACATAGATTTAATTAATTAATTACTACCTTTGCGAGCCTGAATCAACTGGGATCCGTGGGAAAATTTCACCTCTTATGTAATTCTCTAATCGCAGCAAATGTTTCCACCGCATTGCAATTAATTATGAATCGCAGAATCGCGAATCTCTCCGTACGAAACACAAACAAACTTCGAGTCGTTGCGCGCGCGGCGGTTAATGTCGTCGGAAAGTGCTTAAACTTAATTTCGAAAATAAATTTCGCATTCGCGCCGCACAGACGATAGCCGATCGCGCAAATTGCAATCAATCCATCTGCAGTGAGTTTCGTAACTTTCGAACTTACACTTGTCGAGTCTTTCTTCTTTCATGCGAGTGCACTTTGCTCTCGACTAGCACTTATGAAATACGTTCACGGATAACACGAATAGAAATTTTACCATAAAATGTGAAAATGGTAAAATCTAGTATTCTTAAATATTTCATAAAAAAAATTTCACAATCAGCACGAATTTTTATTTTATTTTTAGCTCCAGTTAATTACGAGCAGTAAAAAAATAAAATTAAGAACTCATTGTTCATCAAATTCTTCGCAACGCAGCGCAAATATTAGCGGCACACAGCTCCTAGTTCGTAATTAATTGGTTAATTAAATAGAATAGCGAATTTGCCTATGCCGCGCATTCGCGCATCGCTCGGACGGATCACTGAAACGTAATCGAGCTTTGAGATAACAATTATACAGAGTATCACAGTCAGCCGCTGAAAATCCAATAGTCGAATGGCGCAATTCCAAATTACGATGCGCCGCGAAATTTCCCACCACACTCACGTCACCCAACTTCATCTTCGTTGTAATATAATTTAACAAGAGCTAAAATTAGTTGCACCACTAGACGCGTATTCGAATCGCAGACGATTATTATACTATTACAATATTATTACGAGAGTTCACGAACGGTCGCGGATTGTGAGACTCTCTCGGATGAGAATCGATATTTCATTCATGCTTGATTACATGATTACATATTAGATAAGTAGGTGCGCGACTATCTGTGATCTCGCAGCGTAGCTTTATTTATTCACGATTCCTTTATGATTTGCATAGAATGGAGCAAGACATTCACGATTAGATTCGTGCAGACAGAAAAAAAAAGCATCGCCGTGAACTAATCGTGCGTAAACTATTAATAAACGTTTTGTTGTGCAACTGCATATTGCACTTCATATTAATTACATTATGTCGCCATCTATTGTCAAATAATCTTACTTCATATTAATTTATTTTTTGTTATTTGCAGACTGATTCATCCTATCAGTTCGGCTTCGATGTGAAAGATGATTTGTACACCAACTATCAGAATCGTAAGGAACAGCGAGAGAACGGAAAGATTTCCGGCAGTTATTCGGTGGTCGATTCCGACGGATTTATTCGAACCGTGACGTACACCGCTGATCCGAAGGAAGGCTTCAAAGCCGAGGTAATTAAATCATAGGAAATATCAAAGTTGTCAATAAATTCCGAGATCCGAGAAACTAATATCTAATTATTTACACTTCCGCTTGTTGATAATGTTGCCTACGTGCAGGAAGTTGTTACACTCGTGTTTTTTGTGTGTTGTTGCGAGTCGAAAGTTAATTAATTATCACGACGTTGTGATTGCAGGTTGTTAGAAAGCCGACGGATATCGTCGTGAAGATCCCGAAGCCAAAGGAGGCCGTTGAGGCGGCGGCGCCACAACGCGTGCAACATCACCATCAATATGTTCAGGTACGAACGGAAACTAATTAGCTGTAAATACATTAGCATGTAATTACGAGTAAAACATGAACGCCTTAAATTATTCTTTTGTTTTAATTTAACTAGGAAGAGGAACAGCAGTATGTGCAACCACAGCAATACCAAAAATATCGTCTTCCTGCTCATCAGGCAGCCGCCCCCGCTGGCCAGAAACAGCAAATTGTCTATCAGTATCAGTAAATGATGACTAGATGATATTTGAGGTTAGGTCGTAGGTAGTTTTATAATTTATTTAAATTTTTGATATGAAATTTATGCCGTGGGTGATTATGATACCGGATATGTATATTTTTATAACGTGAATGTGAAACACAAAGATTAAATAAGTCGTTTTTTATGTGAATGTTTTAATTGATGTGATCAGGAGGCGGCCGAGATATTGCGATATAAGTATCGGTCGAGATTGCGCCGCCTCCTGAAAAACGTTTGGAAAATGTTGGAAAAGTATTAAGAGTTTGGTCGCCGCATAAAATCTCAAATTCACACTACATTAACCGCAAATTTGCTGAATGACAAAGACCTTGGAGTTGCCGCTGCCGCCGCCACCGCCTCCGGAGTATATTTGCCGGCGCGAGAATATTGGAAAAGTTGGCAAACTGTAATGATGTGTAAAAATGAGTGAGGTGTCTGTTTACAACCCGAATTTCTTCGCCACAGCCGCCACCCCAAAAACGCCGCCGAAAAACCACCGGCGTATATCGTAAATTATATCCGCACGAGGCCCAAAGAAAGCTTTCTGAAGCATTTGCCACTTTTGCTACTTTGTAAGCTGTCAGCGTTTAGAAGCAAATTAATATTAATTATTGCGTGTAGGTAAATAACGATTAGGAGTTTCTTTTTGACTTGAGCTGTCAAACGTCAACCAATATCTTAAAACTTAAAAAAAAAATGAATTTTTTTGAAAGTAAATTTTTTTTAAGTTTTGGAACGCTGAAGAGATAAGTAAGACATGAATCCAACTCGTCCATCTTTTGGTTTACGTTCAGTTTGGTTGAGTCGGTGGTCAGGAGCGTGCGCGTTCATTGAGATTTCGAAAAGCCCGACCCTTTTCGCCGCCACCGCCATAAATTACATATTTACCGGACGAGTTCATCCCATAAATTCGTGCGCCCGCCGTCCGACTCTTTCTTATCGAAGACCCGTGGCGGAGGCCCAAGCTGCGTTAACATGCCCACTAACTTTTCCAAAACCGAGCTCAAACCATACTCGAATCTAACAAACCGTTCAACAACTTATATTCACTTAACGATCACACACACCGCGAAAGCCAGCATATGCCACATCCAAAATCCCAACCTCGAAATTATTATAGAAAATTATATCAGCGAAAATTTGCACGTGATTTAATTTAATCTCTAATAAACGACAATATTGGTCAGCCTACGAGGGTCGCTGTCGGGTTTAGGCGTGATTTATTATTATAACCTTGAAATATGGCTAAATAAATATGTTAAAGGATTTTCATGCGTGTGGAGGTTCGTTTATTCAATAGATGGCGCTGCTTTTTGAGGTTAATCACCGCGCAGACAATAGTTTCGTTAGTACGGGGCGAAATTCTTAGATTTTACAATATGATATTAAAGTTTACAGTGTGTGCATAACGTGATAACGACTTTCCGCCTCGGCGATCCGTGACGCTGGCATGACTGTAAACTTCTCGCTCCGTCGACTTCAAAACTCCCCATCGTGCAACACAAAATTTTTTGATTTCCCGCTTTGTCTATTGTCTCTCGTCTTGCGCGGCCAGAAAGAAATTAATAACCCGTCATGCAGCGACGCGAGCGTCTCGCATAAAATTGCGCAAAACCCTCGGCGCGATCATTAATTACGCTTGTTTATGCCGCGCCATCTCATCGAGATAAACAGTTACTTATACACACATTAAACGCGATTACGCCATGTCGCCAAAGTGATTTATTCTCCGTACTTCATAACGACAACTCTTTCACGCAACAACAGCACAACGCGACATGCCAAAGAAGCGCCAAAGAGAAGAAAACTGATTAAGTTTTTTTTTTCTTCGCGTCGTCAAGTACACACTAAACATCATCACAAAATGAGATATGTGTGTGTATGTGTCTTGTACTCGTGTGTCACTGATGACTCTTCGCAAACTCTTCTGAAACCGATTTTGGCAACCACGGCTTTCTTGCGCGCGCGGGACTTGTCTCGGAAAGAAGCGAAATTAATTACGTTAGACGCGAGAAATTTATCTCGCAAACAATAAGCTGGTGGGACTTCTTCATCCTGCGATAGAAAAACCACACAGACAAAATGCGAGAACAAAACGTCGATGTTAACGATAACGAGCATAACGATATAATACACAAGGAAAACACAACGAAAAGTTATCAAAACAAATCGATGTGATACTTTTACGATTTTATTAATTGCGTAAGAAGTTTTTTTCCCCACAACTTAAATTAAATTACCATCAAGTGTCATGTAGATGTCAAGTTAGGTTATGTTACAATGTTTCGTGAAAACAGACGCCATTATTTAAATTAAACCAATCGCGTCGATTTTACGCTGGAAATCAGTTCGTTCAGTTCGCGAATCGACGACATAGATGAATGCGCCACCGATCGGAATTGAAAATTTCTGGTCTCGCGTCCCGGTTTGCGGTCACAGCAACGGCGGCGATTCATTTCGCAGCGCATCCGCTTCGGAAAGTTCGTTATAAAGGTGCGCGGCGCCACTTCTGCGCGCGGGTGGCGGAGGAGAGTGCGCTTGTCGCGCAAAATAAAAGAAACCATTATTTAAAATGTAATTGCTTTTGTGTTTCGCCCCTCGGTTTCGATTCAATTCGCAACTATCTTTTCAATTCGAAACGTCCGCCGACACGCCCGAGTGATTATTCAATTTTTCAATCTCGCCAGCCTTTCACTGCGCTTCGAGCATGTTTCCATTGACAATGGAAGAATAGTAAATTTAATTGCATTTTTATTTTTGATCTACAGACATCTCCAACAATGTCTGTAAATATTATTTTACACACTTTGAGTATAGACAAATTATTATCTAAAGTTGGCACGTCGAGTAAATTTAATTCGAATTCAAGTTCCGCTTTTCTTGGCGGTTTCACCTTTATACGTGAGCAATTAAATTAACATTTGCACTCGGCAAAAGGTGGAAACAACCCTCAAACGGCAAGTTACGAGCAAAGTTTGTAGTAATATTCTCATCGTTACGATCATAACACAAATATTAATTGCAACGAATAATTAGAAAACAGTTTGTGAGGTCGAGTTCATTATTTCAGTTTTCTGCACGTAGGCAAAAAACTTGTTAACCTTTTCTTAATTAGCAATTCTGTTTGTAGTTAATCTTAACTTTGCGCGAAAATTCGAATTATCTAGATAACAAAATTTAGCATTTATGTTAATTTACGTTGCGCGAAAGTTGAAAATTTCCAAACATTTCCGCGCCCAACTTTCGACCTTAACTTTCAGTTTTAAGTTTTCTTATATATACGAGCTACATATTCAATTTTGAATTGTGAATTTTCACTTTGTAGCCTTCGCAGAGTTTTCTAATAATATAACCGAAATAAGATATTCCCACGTTCCCCAAGAAGCAGCCGAAGAAGAACTCGACGCTCCACAAACTCAAAATGAAAGACGCGCGAGCGCAGCCGTCCAAGTGCTGAAAACCGTGAAAACGCTGCGAAACTTTACCATCACCCGAGCCGATTCGGCGAAATTTCGCATGTTATGTTTGCGTGTGTTACGTATGTTGCGGAAAGATTACATTGCGCTGTGCGTCTGGTGTTCATTGTGGGTGATCTGGCTAAGTGAAGCAGACAATGCGTAAACATGCAAATATAAAATATATCTGTCAAAATAAACTATAAACTCGCTTATGTATATCTACGTTAGAAAAAAAAAACGCAATTCGAAAGAGAGTATGAGTAGGTACTCCAAGTGTGTAGGCTTCGTTTATGTCATTTTTATGTGTTTTTTCTTTCGCTATCCGAAGACGAGCACCAAAGAGTGGCTTAACGCGTTTTTTCTGCTTTCGGTGCTTTGACCTATACACATGGTTATGACCGACAGGGGGGGCGGAAGAAGGAAGACCCACTACACTCACTCACGCGCAAAAAGAAACACGTAAGCGTATATGATACAAAGAACAAAAACAAAAATGCTGGAAATCATATTACTTTACTTTTACTACCACGCCAGGCAGGCAGGCAGCCAACAGCATGTGTGGCATGATGCGTTTTATGTGTTGCGAATGCGTTAATATACTCTCTCTCGCTGAACTCACACCGCCACAACTTGGTGGAGGCGCCGAAGGAGTTCGCGCGATGTGTGTTTGCGTTTGCGTGTGGCGTGTCGCATGATTCATGGAGTCGTGAGGGAAAAACATGTTGCGCTGACAGAAATATGAGACTGAAAGTACAGGGGCGCCTTGGAGCAAGAGCAGATTCGAGGCGCGGTGTGTAATAGTTACATGTAAGAAACGCTGAAGGTGGAAGTGTAGAAGGTGGTAAATGCTGAAACGCTGCCGTGGCAGAAACGCCACCCGACTTTTATAACAATATAATATAAATGTCCTAGACGCGGCCTGTAATCTTCAGCATCTTAAGTTAATTGCCACTCGACCAAGATATAAACTCAATTTTTTTCTATCCTAACCTAAAATATCATCCTATAATTATCGTAGATTGCGAAATCTTTTGATTTGCCACATTTGTAAACACTTTGCAGCGCTTTGTTAGAATCCACTCAACTCCAGCGCGACACAATCCGCTATTATGTTGCATCATAACAGCCATTTTCCTTCGGCGAATGTAGTAGATGTGAATCGTGTTCGTGTTCGGCGCGGAGATGATATGCATAATCTGTGTAAATTTAAATGCGTCGCATGTACAGTGTAAGACTGGAAGCCAGAAACCCAACCAGGACCCAACGACCACCAAACCCCTTCTTCTTCTTCTTCAGCTGCTAGCAAACTGGTTTCAATTTTAAGTTTCAAGATTCGCGACGACTTGCTGCTGAAACCGGGGGCGTGTCCTCGTGTCGCATCATTACTTTCTGAACGGCTGGAACGCGTGTTCAGCTGCGGCTGAAAATCTCAGTGTTAATATTAAACTCGTGCTCGTGACCGACGTGCCATCTTTAAGCGCTTTCAGTGAGTGTGTGTGTGTGTATGCGGAAAGTGCGTGGGGGAGGCGGTGCGGCACAATGAACCCGGAGGATGTAATGCATTATCATGGAACATTACCTAAGGCCATGTTACGACGATTTCCATTTTCATGCAAGGAGGGAACGTCTGAAATATAACCCCAGTTTCCAGTATTTAATGTTTCTACTAAACCCACCCCGAGGAGCA